TGCATTTGGATTGACAAATATGAACTCAGATCTGTTCATGAAATCAAATATTTCAGTTTTGATGCTTATGAGACACATATAACGATAAACCAGGTTAATGAATAGCAATATATTGGAGTGCAAATGGATGATGCAAGTTAGTGCTACTAGAATTCATGCAGTAAAGCATGGTGGATCAGTTTCACAAGGACAAAGATAACTATGAATTGAACAGGAAAAACTACATTTTTTACTCAATCTCGTTAATCAGTATATGAAGTTCATATGCCTCTCATTCTAAATTGCATGGCAACAAAGTGATAGGATCGAGAGCATTTAATCTGCCATGGCAATAAAAGAGAAAACATATGTTGCTAGGGTAGGGGTATCAAAATGGAGACGCAAGGAGGCCATAATGTGGCTAACCACTATCCAATCAACGGTTCTAGACACCATCACAAAAGTTCGTTTGGGGGAAACAAGGGTGGTAATTCACAGAAAAAAGGAAAGACATGAATCATGGGTAAAGCCTGTATAATTTGAAAGAATATTTTCTTATACTCATCCATAGGAATCACAGACAATGAGACGAGAGAATAAAGAGGGTGCGTTGTAATATTTGTATTAAGAGAACGAGACTTCATATGACATGGAAGAGACTGCACTATAGCTAGACATGACAAGCAAAAGAGAATCAGTAATGTAATTGCTATTCTGTTGCACCTTATTTTTCCTTAAGGTGGAGTCCTAAAAGTACGTGATAGGCAAATCTAGAGAAAGTTACAACACAAGTCGCAAAGGTCATCTAGGCAAAATCCTAATTCTAAGTCAAGTTAATTTAAAAGCAACTGAAAGATTCAGCAGAATAACAAAAAGAAGCTCATCTCTGCAGGGAAAGAAGAAAAGACTGCAGCTCACTTCAGCCTATTAAACATCAAAGTTATGTCATAATCATACTGAGAAACTAAAAAAATTAACTTGCTTTGATATTAGTTCATAGAGATACTTAATGTCATGACATGAGACGGTACTGGAAAAACTAGAAAGTTAAACTTGGTTTAATCTTAGCTTATACTTATAGTGGTACTGAATCCTGTGATTTGAAAGCTCTAAGAATAAGCTTATAAGAGTGACCATAAGAAAAAGATTACAAATGCAACAGTAGCACCATGAACAAATGACATATGACCACAAGTCTATAATTATACTAGTACAATATAAAGCAGAAATGCCATCTCATACCTGAGTTTATGATCAACAAAATCCATCTCGGTACCTATGACATGCATAAGTGCCTTTGGATCAATCAGTATCTTCCCTCCCTTGTCCTCAATCAACTTGTCAAATTTTCCTTCATCGTCTGTACAAGCAAGGTTATTTTGGAAATCAACAGCACGTGACAGAAGAAATTTAAAGTATGGTTTACTTTTTCTTCGATAAATCTCACATATGGTTTACTTTTACTTTTGAGAAATTTCGAAGATGGTTTACTTTTCTTTAAGACATTTCACAGTGGGTGCACCAGTTATTAAGGCAAGTTCTAAAGGTAATAAATTATGATTAATCGGCAGAATAATCTGTAGGAACATGCTTGCACAAATCGGTAGAATAGCTCTATGCAGATGTTGAGAGCAGGATATTGAAACTTTGAGCACAAAGTAAATGTACACTATTATTGTGAACTCCATTACACCTCCGACGTGCCTGAACGCACACATTTGATGAGTTATACACACTACTGAATTCACTCGGTGTGAATAAGATTAAATCATCAGTAGACCAATTATACATTAAGTGCAGCTCAAATTATGCCAGAAACAGATACAAGAGCAGATCTTTTAGAGAAGTTCTCTTTATGTAACTTGTCAATAATGTTCTAAAAAAGAATATCTATTCAGCCAAGGCTTATCCATAAATGAGACACCAAACTCTAACGAGTAATGGAAGAGAAAACAAGCTATACATAGTACTCTCACTGTGATCTCTAACTCGAACATGGAAGAACACTTTGAAAATCACATAGTTGTACGAGTTTGAGGTTAATCAAGAATAAAATGCTTTCAGTAGTGGCGTTTACAAAGCATTAGATAAGATCTATAAATAGAGAGGTACCTATAAAACTCACTCACAATCTCACGAGAAGAGCCAGCATTGATTATATTAAACCATTCCAGCGTTGAGAAGTATGATGAGAAGCTCTGAATGGATTCTTTCACTGATTCTTTCTCAGGGATGGTTTGAGAAGCAACATCCAATCCCACAAGGCATATTGGTTCAGAAGCAATAGCCACAAAATCACCATGATGTGATGCATTGAAGTTAAAATTTGGCAACTCCAACTTCAGTTTGTCACATTCCTAGAAGAGGATAGGATAAACGATATTGCAAATGTGAAGATATCGACTGCAAGCAACAGCAAAGCAGGTAGCATGAAGAACATACTCAAATTAAACAATCAATGTTACTCTGGCATCAAGAATGTAATTTCAAACATATATAATGAGAATCTTTTCAGCTGAATCAGAATATGTGATTCTGAAACTGAATCTTTATCGATGATGTAAACATGAAAAATATGAGAAAGCATCAGTAATTGGGAGAATTTTCCGAAGAAGAGTTATGTAAATGCTGGTAAACCATGTATCATATGATCAAAATAACAGATGTAAGTTCTTGAAAGTTGCAATTATCTAATCTTCATGGCTTTTACAGAGTCTACTTTGGATAAGTTGGTTTATTTGGATATGGGAAACGACAGCTGCATCCACTAATACAAGGGGAAAAAGATGTATAAGAAGAAACCAGTACATATTAAATTCTTATATCCAATATTCATCACTTGAGTACTTCCTCATTGATAAATAAGTGGTGTTCAAATAAGAGAGAAGAGCAGGACTTGGCCGAGAGACAACTTTCTTCATGGCTGATGAAGCAGGACCAAAATGAAGAGAAAAAACTATTCGACAGATATTACGGAAAGTATGTGTTTGACACTGGTGAGAAACTAATTCATCAATTGACAACAGCAGGAAATTTCGTATATACCATCCGGAAAAAGGGGTTAACATCATGTTTTTCATGTCATATTCCAAGTATTTGTCTTGTGCAAGTTGTCTAGTAGATAATAAACCTTTATAGAACATATTTCTAGTATAAGGCTACTGCAAATAATTATAGCAAAATTCCATCCAAGGACGAGTCATTTTACACCTCTAATCTTTGACTCTACTGGAAACACTTGGAAGAATGCAAGAATCCAGATAGTTATCGATAAAAGACACACTTCTGATAAGGTACTTCAACGAGCAAACATGAAAAACATAATTTCAACAAAAAATGAGAACCAAAAGCTAGTGCACTTTCAGCATTGTACCTGACTACGTTCTAAATATAACAGGTATGGTTTCCCCTCAGCAGTGCGCCTGATGACAATTTTGTTATATGGGATCCCCAAGACTTGATGTATTAGTGCATACTGCAACAATCTGCTCACAAGAGCCCGTTTTCGATCTTCCATTTTAAAGAACCTAATCAATGAGTGACAAATCCGCTCAACTTTCTACAAAGGGGTAATCTCGATAACCAAATTCCTCAACAAGCTTTTTTAAACACCCATATATACTTAAGCAAGTAAAAACAAAGTGCATATTCAAAATATTGCTTTGGTAGACACCTTTTAGCAATAGAGAAATTAAAGAATTCTAGAATAAACCTACAGATGAAAACTTTTACTTGAAATACAAAGTGCATATTCACATTCAAAATTAAGGCAAGTATAACAAAGTACAAACTCACAATTTACTTCCATAGACAGCTTTATGCAATCAAGAAGGAAAAAGTACAGATAAAAATTAAAAATCATTTTACTTGAAATGCATCTATTGTAGTTCGATTATAGGATTATTGTTGTAGTACTATTCTACTACTATCTGTTGTTTTTGTTATTTTTTATTGTCTCTTGTACTTCCATTACGTCTTTTCCTAAATTGTTTTCGTCTTGAGCCGAGGGTCTATCGGAAACAACCTCTCTGCCACAGAGGTAGATGTAAGGTCTGCGTACGCTCTACCCTCTCCAAATACCACTCTGTGGGATACCATAGGGTATGTTGTTGTTGTACATCAATTTAGTACTTCAAATAAAACATAAGACCCTTGAAAACTTTATGCAATCAAGAACCAAATGGTATACAATTAACTAAAAGATTAAACCTTTACATGTTATACACAATCTTTTAGCATTTCATATAAAATCTATATACAATTTGTGCAATCAAGAACCAAAGTAGCATAGAATAAACTTAAAGATTAAAACTTTATATGATAAACATAAATTTCTAGCATTTTCATAAAAAAAGATATGGACCCTTTATGCAAACAAGAAAGAAAGAAGTGTGATAAAGCTAAAGATGAAAACTTTACATAAAAAACTGAAGGACAGAAGAGGTAGAATCAAGAAACCTGGTAATGGAGGAGTGTTCATGTTGGGGACGAAAGGACATAGCAAAAGAGAAGTAATTGGGAGATGGGTTCCATTCAGAAATGTCAACTATCCTTTCCTTCTGCAGAGTAATCAGTTGATTCCCAACTTTTCAAAATGCATATACTAATAAAGAATGTCACTCAAACCTTGTCATTTTTCACCTAATTAAGGAAAACATTCCATCATTTGTCTCCTGCAGAAAGTCTAATTGTTAGCAAAGACATCTCCTTTTTACAAGTTGGAGCAATAAGGAAGAGAAGTGTCAAGGCAGAGTGTTTTCTCGACAGCAAAACCATTGTTGAGCAAATGACATGCAGCCAATGTCTACGTCTAAGTCTTTGTTGATGCAATATCGCTTGTTCAACAATGGTTGTACTGCTAATGAAATTGTAATTTAAATTATGGGTGACTTCCTTCATACGAAACACATCCATAAAGTAATAAGAATGATTTTTCACTGAAGGGGAAAACCAGTAAAAACGAAAAAAGGGACATGAAGACAAATAATAATAGGATAAAAGTTTTAAGGATTGTTCCATACCCAACTGCTGCAACCAGGTATCTTCCTAAGACCCTTCTCACTCATCTTTTGACGCAACAGTGCAACATCTAACCACCTATTTGCCGCAGCATAGATGTCTGACAAAATCACATAATTACCCGTATTTTGAGGCTCTAGTTCAAAAAGTTTATTCGATATCTCCTCCCCAACCTCAATGTCACAGTGTAGCTTACAAGCCCCAAGAAGTGCACCCCAGGCACCGGCATGAGGTTCAACAGGCATCGACTTTATAAGTTCATATGCGTCTTGAAGCTTTCCTGACCTTCCAAGAAGGTCTACTACGCATGCATAATGATCTGGAGATAGCTTGACAGAGTATTTGGTTGTCATTAGATTGAAGATCCGGAAACCCTCCTTAACAAGTTCTGCACGACTACAAGCTGTCAGAATTATCTTTAGGGAAACATCATCAGGCACAAGACCCTCGTTCAGCATCCTATCAAAGAAATCTACAGCCTGAGAACCGCAACCATGAATAGACAGCCCTTGTATCATTGAACAATATGATACTAGATCACGCTTAGGCATCCCCTCAAACAACATTTTTGCCCTTTCCATATTCCCACACTTAGCATTCATATCCACGAGGGCCGAAGCTATATGTACTTGATTAAGATCAAAAGAATTTTGGCTCATATAATGTTCTACCCAATTTGCTAGGTCCAGACGACCTAACTGGGAACAGGCACACATCAAACTTACCATTATAAACTCATCTGGCCTAACATTCATTGACAACATCTCGTGAAATATTTTGACAGCTTCATTGGGTTGCCCGTTCTGAGCATACCCAGACATCAAAGCAGACCACAAAATTATGTCTCTATCAGAAGACCTATCAAACAGAAACCTTGCTGATGCCATGTCACCAGCCTTAGCATAACCATCAATCATAGTAGTAAAAGATACCACATCCTTATAAGGCATACTATCAAACAATTTCTTCGCACCGGACAAATCACCAAACTTCACGAATGCCCTAATCATTGCATTCCCCGAAGCTACATTTCTCTGTGGCATTTCATCGAATAACTTCCTTGCTTCTAATAAATCACCAACATATACATATCCAACGATCATCGCAGTCCATATAACCTCATTCTTCAGAGGAATTTCATCAAAGATTCTTCGTGCATACTCAATCTCTTTGCACTTCCCATAAAGATCAATCAAACTAGATCCTACAAACACATCACTATCAATCCCATATCTCACTAACAACCCATGAATAATCTTACCTTCCCTCAAAGCAAACACATTAGAACAAGATTTGACCAACGACGGAAAAGTAAATTCATCAGGTTTCACATTCACAGTTCTTCTCATTTGTCTCAAGACTACGAAACAATCAACAAGAGATGATTTTTTGCTATACCCTTTAATCAATGTATTCCATACATAAACATTAGGCTGAATAACATGCTCAAACACACTTGTAGCATAAGATATATCATACGAAAACACATTACAGAGGGATATAAACTGGTTAATGATAAAATGGTCTTGCTCATAACCCTTTTGTATTATGTGGGTATGAACTTGTTCAAGGTGTTTTATGCATCTGCTCTCTCTCAACAGATTTAGAACCGTAAAGGATGATGGTTCAGTTCTTATGCATTTTCTAATCAAAGACATAACCACAAAAGCAAAGTAGATGGTGATGACAACTCCACATTAATTCTCTGTGCAAGAATTAGTAATATTGTTGACAATTATAAGTATTTTGTAGGTGTGTTTAGCTTGAAAGAGTGGGCTTTATTACCATCCACTATGTGTTTGATAAAATGCCACAAAGAAATCAAGAAAAAGCTAACTCCACTTACAGAATCAAATCCGTTGGATTTTTTAATCTATCCGTTCCTTTTCGAGAGCAACAGTTAAAAGTAATGGGGAGTTGTTGTTGCTCTGAATATCCGCGAAAAGGGGAAAAAAAAACCCGAACTGATGTGTATGGAAGAAGAAGACGTACAGGGGTGTGTGTGTGTGTGGGGGGGGGGGGGGGTACTGTATTGTATGTATATGTATGTATATGCTGGGTATTAGAATGTTGTTTTTGTGGGCTGAGATTTGAATAGGCTGGAGGAAATTAAGGGCAAATTACAGAAATCACATACTTTTAAGGTAAAATTATAATTTATTCCTTAAAAGTTTATAATTATAGAAATTCCTCAAACGGATACAATAATATAAGCGTTGATACATTAATCTGATGTGCGAGATACATTAATCGTTAAGTAAGATACATTACATTTTATACATGATACACTAATCTGATGCGCGAGATACAATAATATAAGCGCTGATACATTAATCTGATGTGCGAGATACACTAATCTGATGTGCGAAAATGAGGAATTTTGGAAATTTGTAAAACTTATAGGGGATAATGGTAATAAGTAAACTAAAAGGTGGAATTTCTGTCATTTTTCCGAAAATTAATGTTGTAAGTTGGGCCGAATTGGGTCTTTTGTATTATATTGGTGGGCTGTAATGTTGACTGGAAATTGGAGGCAGCAATGGGCTGATGTAAATTGTTGTTGGGTTGGAATGACCCAAAATTAAAATAAGGTGAATTAATATAATTAATTAATAAGCTTTTTAATCTTAACAACATAAAATAATTAATTTAGCTATAAACTAATTAACTCGAAATTATAACTATAACTTAAGCCAAACTAAACTAATAAAATATTTAACTAAAAAATGTAAAATCTTTTTGAGATGATTTTTGAATATTCATAAATACATACAAAATTATATAGAATATATATATATTAGTTTAAAAAATTGTAAAAATGAAAAAATTACTTAAAATGACTTGAAAAATATTTTGAATTATAAAGTCAATTATTTTAAATCGTTGGAAATTTAAGAAGCTCGATAATTAATTTATATTGTGGAGGGCCAAATTGGTGTCAACACTTCCTATTCTGGAAAAACTAGTTGCTGACTCAACCTCCCCTCAGGTCTACGCACTCTGTCTTTATTTTTAGCATCAGCGGTTGAAAGAGAGCACGAGCCCTTTCTATTCTTATCTATCTCAGAAAGAAAGTCTCAACCTTTTATACGAAAGTAGGGCCCACCTTTCAATCCACAAGATCAAATAATTGTGCATTCTCTTTTGTATGTGTACCAAAATCAACTTCTAGTTTATAAGTCAATCATTGAATACATAAATTTTGATTATTGTTCTTCTTGTAATATGAAAATTTGTATGTTATTTCTCTTGCCATATGATTTTATACCAAGGTCCTTTAAAACAAAGAAAACATTTCAACTAAGAATTGTTGGGTATTTCTCAAAAAGACAAAAACTCTCCAAAAATTGGCATATGCCACTATTTGCAACGCACACATGGTATTCTTTAGTAAAAGTCGAAAGAATAGTTCGCAATGTGCTCATTGTGTGGCTGCGTGATTTGACTGATCGACTGGATGCCCCGAAGATCAAGAAGATGAACTAGTATATGAGGATGATGATCTTGCTTGAGGTAGTGTTGTTATGGCAATTGGAGCTGACGAGAGTATCTATCATCTTAGGAGACTTTCTTCAAGATCAAGAGCACTTGACAAGAGCAAAGGAGTAGAAACTACATCTACAAGTTCAACTTCAAGTAGGACTCGGACACTAATTGATGAAGAATCTGAGGAGGAAGATGATGAGGAGCAATATAATCATGATGTAGAAGATGTTGATCTTCAATAGTTGGATAGCTTTGAAGAAGAATAGACTTTTAGAGTTCTATCTTTTGAATTATTGGACTTTTAGTATCTACTATTAGTTTTTGAATTGAAATATATGCTAATATATGTTATTGCTTTTGAGATTTTGAATACTTATATATGCAATTAAATATTTTTAATTTTTGATATTAATTGATGCCTCGATTCAAAAAGGCGAGCGGCGAGGCCCTTGTCGCCTTTCGCCGTCCAAAACACTGCTCTTGCCATATGATTTTATATCGAGGCCCTTTAAAACAAAGAAACATTTCAACTAAGAATTGTTGGGTATTTCTCAAAAAGAGAAAAACCCTTCAAAAATTGACATATACCACTATTTGCAATGTGCACACGGTATTCTTTAGTAAAAGGCGAAAGAATAGTTCGTTATGTGCGTGATTTGACTGATTGGCTGGAGCCAACTTTAAATACGGGCCGAAACTGTTCATTTTACAGCTTGTGTCCGATGTGAGATAAATTTTGCTAACAATTGTACAACGTTGGTGACGTTTTTTTGTACATTTTGATTTACTTTTCTTTCTTATCATGTGTTATTTTATTCTTTTAATAGAAAAATTTTAGTATTTAAATTCAACAAGGCGGACAAATTTACTGCTTTTAATTTAATTGTAAGCTTGGATCAAGTGATAATCTCTATTTTTGTTATTTCTTTTGACATTAAGTTTGAATTTTTGAACACACAGATTAGTATATTACCAACTTCCGTAAAATACGATTGTTGTTTTATTTCAATTTATTTGTCCTAGTTTAACTCGACACGAAATTTAAGAAGATAAAAAAAAATTGAATCTTCTAATCTTAAATTTAAAATGTGTGTAATGTATATATCAAGATGTCCATCTTAAACGTATCATATGAGATTTTTAAATTAAAAATAGACAAATTAGGGGGGATTCTTTTTGAACCAAAAGAAATAGACAAACAAATTGTAATAGAGTGAGTACCAAAACGAAAAACAAGAAGAAAGGGACAATAAACTAAAGATAGCACTGGAACAACGGGAATTAGAAATTGAACAAATTCACGTAGTCAAACAACTGAGCTACTACAATTCTCTACTATTAGCATAGCTTAGTGCAGAAACATCTTCGGCGCCAGCCAATGCAGTCTCCGCCAGAGAAGCCTTCGTTGCGGCAAATGATAGCACAATTGTGGTCAAGGACGCATGGGCCGCGGTACCGATGGCTTTGTGAGATGCACACTCTTCCCTCCACTTGTCGGATTCCTATTTCTACATGCACAAAATTCGAAAGTCTAAAATTAAAGTCTTTTAGATGTCGATGTACATATAAGTTAAATTTTTAAATAACAATAATAATAATAATAATAATAATAACATATTCAGTAAAATCTGGAGAGAATACAATTTACACAGATCTTATTTTTTACCTTTGTAGGGTAAAGAAGTTGTTCTTGATAGACCTTGACTCAAAAAAGAAGTTTTCATCACAAGTAAAATATGATAGTCAAATAACAAGATACTAAGCAGAGGAAACAACAACTAGCATCACTCGTTAGAGAATAAGAAACTAACCAAAAACTATTGTTAATTACTAATATGATCAAGCTAGCTCCTACCTCTTTGAGGTAAAGCACGACAATGCTCGATTATCTACTGGTCATTTTAAATTTTTAAAAAGAAAATAGAAGTATCAAACTCATAGTAAAACACACATTTTCGACAGTGTATTATGTATATCGAAAAAATTTAGAAACCATAAATCATTAACTTGGATTCACAAAATATATAATGGGAAAAAGACTAATTACGTGATGCAAATACAATGAGAAGGAACAAAAGCCCAAAAGTCTTCCTCTCCATCTTGATCATCCTTTTTTGGTAATGCTTTCTAATATCTTTGAATGAAGCTATCAAATGAGAAAACTCCTATAATATAGATAGAGGGGTGGGAATAGTGTGACCATTTTACCCTTCAGAACTTAACCACCTCTTTCCGTCTATTTTTACTTGTCCACTATATTGAAAATTGATGTCCATTTTTATTTATTTAGTTTGAAAAATCAAAAAATAATTTATCATTTTATAAGTAATACTTAATAATTAAAAAGGACCTAAATTATATTATTTTATTTATTAGTTTTTAAAAAATATCTCAAACTAAACAACAAGTGAACGAAGAGATATTATACTACCTCGAGAGGATGATAGTGCATGCATGATTTTATTAAGTAACACTAATTTTAAGACGGAGAAATTATTATAAAATGGAGATAGTAAATGTTACACAGACTGACTCCGCTTGTAAACTCTACGGAGGCTGAAGTCTCACGTGAATGCCCCAGAAATTAATGTATGCCACCCAAGTTTGATTGGCCAGCATGGGCGGCCTCAAAACCACAAACTTAAGGCTTCATACATAGTCATCATCTTTAAAAAATAAAAACATAAATTGTCAAAATATTCATATTTTTAATTTAATATTTTAATTTCTAATAAAGTATCCAGATGCTTTAAAAAAAATTACATATGTTATTGATCGTCTGTAAGATAATTAAGCAAATCACATAAAATATATCTTCTTTAATTATACACATCAACTTCACACAGTAAATGTATAAGGTTTCACATTATTAAGGCAAATATATATAATTAAAGGACATGACATCTTTAATATAATTAATTTAACTTTCTCATAGACAAATTAGAACACAAAAAAATAAAAAAATAAAAGTGGCAGCAATTCATGCGTATGTGATTATATTATCATATAAAAAGTGGCAAAGCATAGCAATTGAGAAAAAGTTTTGATAACCAACAAGCGTATCAAATCACATAGATAAGCCTCTACCTGCCAGTTAACAGATGGTTAGGGCAGGCAAAGCGTAAAGGGGATGGATGTCTGAGCAATCCTGCGATTCAATGAAATGTAACAAGTAGCCAGTGGGAGGACTCATCCATGGAGCTACAAGTTGACGGAATCCAGTAGATTTGGCTCAACCTGTATTTGGATTAAGAAAATTATTTAGTATGTATAAATAATTAATCCAAAACACAATAAGCGAAAAAAGATTGTGATTCAGAACACGTAAACTAAAAAAATTGATTGGCCTCAAAAGGCAAGATCGAAATCTTCATACAGTTCCCTGGAGAACCAAATTTGGTGCTGTTACATAAAGAAGTTACTTACAGATAAGCAACGGTAACCAAGTGTGTGTGCTTCAGTGAATAAGGGGACAGTAACATGACCTTCCTTCAGCTGGCTTCGCCGGGGGTATCAAAGAAACCAACTAGTACAAAAGGAAATAAGGAAAAGAACTACTAATATAGAAAATTTGAAATTGCAAGTCAAGTAATTGAGAGAACAAGATCACTCCACTCAATTAAAAAGGATCTTAACTAATATGGTAGTAAAGCACCAAAATCTAGATAAATTAAAGATGTCTTCACCTTCAACTACAACAAACTATCCAGCAAGTTACTAAAGATTTTTTTATAAGGTAAAAGTTTTATTAAAAGGGTACCAAGAAGATAATAAAAGGTTACATAAACAACAAAAAACTCCAAAAAGAAAAACAGGCTACTAGACTTTCCTTCCTAACAAATCTAGGAAATCCATTAATTGGTTCAAACTACCTATTGAACTACTTCTACACCAGAAGAATAGATTCTGCAAACAACTATCTTTTACCCTAAAAATTGGAGATCTATGTTCTTAAAAACAGGCCTTGTACCTTTCCAGCCATATCGTCCAGAAATTCACAGTGGAATAGTCCTCCGTATCTCTGCTTATTCTCTTTGTGAGTAACTTGCCTGTTGTTGCCAACTTTGTATTAAACCTCTCACATTCTGAGGCATCACCCATGCAATACCAGAGATACTTAGAAATAATTACAGCATTGTTGGAAACTCTGTAATGGATATACAGGTACTCCACTATTTCTTGATCTTCTTGACACAAGTAGAGCATACAACGGCAACAACAACATACCCAATGTAATCCCACAAGGGCCTGGGGAGGTAAAGTGTACGCAGATCTTACCTCTACCTTAAGGTAGAGAGGTTGTTTCTGATAGACCCACAGCTCAAGGAAAAAAACAGTCCAAAGCAGTAAAGAGAAAGAAAGAACAGAAATAAAGAAGTCACTCAATGCGGGATTTCTGTTGGATCAGATCTTTTGGGAAGCTTTTGGACCTAGCGAAAAGGGCTCTAAGCCTTCACGCAAGCAAGCGCGAGAGAAGCGGAGCACGAAGCTACCGCTTCCCCCGACCGACTAAAATACAACAGTCGCGACCTACTTTGATTCAAAAGAAAGGCGAAGGGTTTGGCAACAAGCAAACGACAATGGAATTACAAAAAACAACAGATAGTAACCAAACACAAAGGACAAGAAACTACAAGAGTAATACTACGACTAAAAGTATGGGTAATAGTACAGAAGAATAAGCGAGAGACGACGCTTAACTATTTTACCCTAATTTGTGTCCTCCATAACCTCCTATCTATGATCACGTCCCCGATAAGCTGAAGTTACGTCATGTCCTATCTAATCACCTCTCCCCAATATTTTTTCGATCTACCTCTACCTCTACCTCTCTTGAATCCATCCATAGCCAACATCTCACAACTCTGCACTAGGGCCTCCATGCATCTCTTGTGCACATGCCCAAACCATCTTAGTCTCATTTCCCGCATCTTGTCCACCTCACTGCTACCTTGTCCCGAGTATCTTCATTCATAATGTCACTTCTCTTGTTATGCCCACACATTTATCTCAATATCCTCATCTACACAATTTTCATCTTCTAAACAAAGTTCTTGACTGGCCAACACTCTGCTCCATACAACATAGCCGGTTTAACCACCGCTCTGAAGAACTTCCCTCTAACTTTTTGTGGTACCTTCTTATCACACATGACTCCAAATCCGAGCCTCTATTTCATCCACCATGCACCTATACAATGTGTGACATCATCATCAATCTCCCCATTTCCTTGGATAATAGACCCAATACTTGAAACTTCCTCTCTGCTAAATGATTAGTGTATCAAGCCTCACTTTCACGCCAACCTCAAACGTTAAGTCACTAAACTTGCACTCCAAGTATTCTATCTTGGTTCTACTCAACCTGAACCCTTTAGACTCAAGGTCTGCCTCCAAATCTTAAGCTTAGCGTTAACTCCACCTCGGTTCTCGTCAATCAGTCTCCACACAAGTAGCATCTATTACATAAATATGAATCCCCTTTTTTGCAGATTATTATGTTAAACATACCCCCTATGTTGCAACCCACCAATGTTGACCTGGCTCTTTTGTTAACAGTCTAGCAATTCCTATCTGAGAAATTTTTTGTCCTTGCCTGATTCTGATTCTATTTTGTTGAAGCAACTGGCAGTCCTCTACCTCCCAATCATTCAAATT